TTTTCTCTCCCCTCCCCCCCCCCCCCCCGCCGCTGCTGCTGCTGCTGCTGCTGCAGCTGAACCTCCTCTTGGTAGTGAATGGGCCCCTTGAAACTATAGAGGCGAGTCCTGCTTGGGGTGTATCTACAGCTCTGCTCTCGGCGTCTATCCTAAGCATTAGCTCTAAAGTTTGCTGCCATTAGATTTCTTTTGCGTCTCCCTCTGCTGCTGCTGCTGCTGCTGCCCTACTGGGGGGGCCTCCAGGGGGCCGGTACCCCTCCGGGGGGCCCCCCGTAGACGGGCATGGGCATGGGGCCCCTGGGGGGCCCCCCGTAGGGGGGGCCCCCCACGGGAGCAGCAGCAGGGGGCACTGCTGAGGGCGGCCAGCTGGGGTTGTAGGAGGCCCCTGCTGCTGCTGCTGCTGCTGCTGCAGGAGGCGCGGGCTGCTGCTGCTGCTGGTACCCATAAGGATTTGCCCCGTAAGAGGGGCCCCCCGGCTGCACTGGGCAAACCCCGTAAGGCCCATAGGAGGGGGGGCCCCCCAGGACGGGCTGCGGTGCAGCACAGCAGAGGCGGCCCTAAATAAATAAACCACTCGAACCCTAAACCCTAATAATGAGAAAACAAATGAGAAATGAACAATCAGAGTTTATTCTTATTTGCTGCCCCACTTGCTGCTTGCTGCTGCTCTTTGAAGCAGCAACACACGCTACGTACATGCACAACACGCAACCCCAAACCCTAAACCCTAAACCCTAAACCCTCATAACGAGCTGCAATCAAGCGCTGCCTCAAAAGGGACTGTGATATTAAAACGAAGACACAGAAGAGCCAGCCAGAAGAGACAGGAAAGGCAAAACCCTAAACCCTAAACCCTAAACCCTAAACCCTCGCTTACTGGAGAGGAATAAGGAGACACAAACCGCATCGAGGGGGCGCTATAGGGAGTGCCCCTGTAAGGCCCAAACCCTAAACCCTCGGGGGTGCGTGAGGCTCCTGGTCTGCGAGAGGCAGGCTCGCGGTTGCTGCGAACAAACCCTAAACCCTAAACCCTAAACCCTAATCCCCAAACCCTAAACCCGCGATTCCGCTGGCTCAACAGTAACCGCACGTTCGACGCCATCCCAGTAGCGCACTCGCTTGGCCCGTTACCGAAGGATTTAGGGTTTGATTAGGGTTTAGGTAGGGTTTAGGGTTTGGGATAGGGTCTACGGTTTGGGCTAGGGCCTAGGGTTTAGGGTTAAGGGTTTATGAAATCCTCTGAGGCATTCTGGAGAAGCAAACCTGCAGTGTGACCCTGAAGTCCAAGGCAAAGTTACCAACCGCAGATTAGGGTTTAGGGTTTGGGGTTTGGACAAGGGTTTAGCGCTTGGGGTTTGGATTAGGGTTTAGGGTTTAGATAAAGTTCTAGGGTTTACACGTTTCTCGGGGCACTCTGGGCAAAACAAAGCTGCAAAGTGACTCGCCTTAAGTATCCGGCAAAGCCACCACTGCAGGCTAGGGTTTGGGCGAGGAATTAGGCTTTAGCAAGGGTTTAGGGTTTAGCGTTTAGCAAGGGTTTAGGGTTTAGGGTTTACAAAGTTCTCGAAGCATTTTGGGCAAAACAAATTTGCAAAGTGACCCCGTTGAAGTTGTGGCCGTTGAGGGCTTCCAGGGCTTTGGCCGCGTCTCTCACATCATGATATTCAACGAACTTTTCTCTGAAGCGACAAACCCTAAACCCTAAACCCTAAACCCTAAACCCTAAACCCTCACTCCCACATTCGCGCCACGAATGGTGCGGTGCAGCAGGCAGGCTTAAAAGGGTGCAGGGGTTTAAGAGCCGCCTTTATGCGGTCCGCCAGCTGCATTAGGGTTGAGGGTTTAGGGTTTGGGGTTTAGGGTTTAGGACTGCGGCAGGTGTATGGGTGGAAACAACGAATTAGGGTTTCGCGTTTGCGGCCGCGTCTCCGGAGTCGGCCGGACGCCGCCAGGGCGCGGCCGAGGGCCTGGAGGCTAGGGTTTAGGGTTTAGGGTTTACGAGTCTCTTTTTCTGTTGACAGAAACCTTTTTGATGTCCCCATAAGAAGAAAATAATCGCCTGTAAGCGTCCAGACTGTTGGGGTCACTTAAAGTGGTGGACGAGGACATCCCATTCGTGGGCCGGATGTACAGAGTGCCCTGCACGCAAACCCTAAACCCTAAACCCTAAACCCTAAACCCTAAACCCGGAGCCCTGAACCTTGCATGTAAACCCTAGGCCCTGCAGGCGCGCCCTTAGCCTGAACCACAAGGCTTCGCTGCCAGTGAATCCACGGGGCCCCAGACCCACAGCCCAAACCCTAAACCCTAAACCCTAAACCCTAAACCCTCAGACTTCATCAGGGAAGCTCGCAACCACAAGCCTCAGCAAGAAACGCAGAGGCGGAGAGGGCCCTGCCACCCCGTAAACCCCAAACCCTCGTGCGGGCACCTATGCGCGCGCTAGGGTTTAGGGTTTAGGGTTTAGGGTTTAGGGTTTACGCACCATGTTGCTGTCCTTGTCCGGCCTCTTAATGGCGCTGTACTGAACCTCCGCTCTCTTGCCCGCAATTTCTGTAGCCCTCAGCGCCTCGCGAGCAGCTTCTGCATGCCTTATATCATACTGCAGCAAAAACCACAAGGGTTTAGGGTTTAGGGTTTTGGGGCCAAACGCGGCGAAAAGACACACCCTACAGCTCTCTGTTTGCACTTGCTTAGGGTCTAGGGTTTAGGGTTTGCAGGGCCAGCGCCAGCGCAAGTGCAAAGCAGCTCCTACTGCGCAAGACGCCCAGCCCTAAACTCTAAACCCTAAACCCTAAGCCCTAAACCCTGAAACCTAAACCCTAGAGCTCAGACTCCGGCTACTGGCTAACCCCAGCAAACGCGACGTTCTAGACAACCGACCAAAGGCCGCGCACTCGCTCAGACAGCCTAAACCGTAAACCCTAAACCCTAAACCCTAAACCCTAAACCCTAAACCCTCACGAACAAACAACTCCCCGCCTGCACCCCAAACCCCAGCGGCTGGTCCGGGGGCGGTAGGCGCGCGACGCCCCCGGCGCAG